AGAGAGAGAGAGAGAGAGAGAGAGAGAGAGAGAGAGAGAGAGAGAGAGAGAGAGAGAGAGAGAGAGAGAGAGAGAGATACTGACCTGCAGGCTGGTGGCTTCGTCGTCGACTGGCGGCGGCTGGCTGCAACTCCTGGCGGCTGCTGCTCTCGGCGATGGCTGCAGGCAGGAACTTCGGTAGATGCAAGAAGGACACTCCGGAAACTGGCAGCAGCGGCGGGCGGGGTTTTCAAAAGCGGCAACTTCGAAAGTGCCCCAGCGACCACCCGCCACCCCGCCTCAGTCACCTGTGTCCGGTTGTCAGACCCGTCTGGTAGGCCGAAGCGAACCCGAAAATTGGGCCCCGTATTTTTCTGGGGGCGCCCAGGACCCGGAAAATGTCCTGGGCTGCCCCCTTTTTTTTCAATTTTTTCAACGTGGCCCGCTTTCCGTACGTTCAAGACCGGACATCGGACCCCGACATCTGACTCTGGACTGTCTGGAACCCGGTCCGGACGTCCGGTTGGTTACCATGGTTCGAAGTCATTGAAGTACGTGTTTCTTCATTACCACGTGTATGTCTCAAAGTCCACAGTATCCAGGAAAGAGAGGAGGGGAGAATAGACAGTTGGAAGGAAAAGTGTAAGTCCCTCTTCTCCTTCAGGCTCCCCACCTCTGCTATGTCAGCAATCTGTACTTAATGCGCTACGTCAGCAATATGTCCACAATGTGCCACGTCAGCAATGTGCACTCAATGTACCACGCCAGCAATATGCACTCAATGTGCCATGTCAGCAATATGCACTCAATGTGCCACGTCAGCACTATGCACTCAATGTGCCATGTCAGCAATATGCACTTCAATGTGCCTCGTCAGCACTCCGCGTAACACGTGGACGGTGTGGAAGCAGCTTCTTGCAGGTAAACGATCCTCCAACAGCAAGCAGAATCGGCAGCGGCTTCACATCTGAAGAAACCAGGTACGTACGACTCACATCACCCGACGCTCTCTCCCTCTCCTGATTCCCTCGCCATCTTTTATGGTCGCTGTCTTGGCCGCCCTCTCCCTATCTCATTTCTATGATATCTGGCTGGCTCCCATCCAGCAGTCTGGCGCCAGCATCTCCCTCTCCAGTCTCACGCACAGCGTGGTACCCGCAAGCAACTCACAAGACTGAATGCTCAAGCAGTTGCGAGGTCAACCTTTTGTAGCATGGACTCGCACTGTTCAGGGTCAGCGTCGGTCCATGTGAGGGCCCGGATCATCCGATCAGTCCCAGTTTCGGTCTGGACCCCTCTAGGCCTGAATCTTTCGGAACCTGCGGACAACTGTTAGATCATTCCAGATCAACAGCCAGGAAATCTTTGTTGTTGACTTCTCGGATCTTGGGCCTGGGTCCACGAGTTGACTGTTGACTTTTTGGTCAACTGTCGGCCTGGGCCCCTTTTCAAGGCCTCTTTGAGCCCTCTTTTCAAGGCCTTCCCATTTGTACCTGTCTGTGGGGGCGTCGGAAGCCGAGTGGCTCAATTTGGCACACGAGTTACAGCAGTGCTCATTATACTAAAGTAATTCAATAAATTGTTGATCCTTAGGACAAAGAGAGTTGATGATGGGATTGCCAATCAATTAATAGGTATGTAATATAATATAGCGATGTATTCATTTCAATTTATGAGTGTTCTGTTACTTGGAATTGCAGATGAACATCTCTACTGTGAGGGCTCATTATGAGCTGCAGCTCAGCATCATGGGGGCTGCAGGGAAAGCTACGGAAATTGTGGCTCTCCATGCTGTGAAGAAGAAGGGGTCCGCAAACCTAAAGCTCAAGCCTCGACACACAGGGGCCGGCCATACGTACATGGAAGGGACGGCAGAGTACCGGACCGTCAATGGCCTCATAAGACCGCTTATATCCGAGTACAAGAAAATGACGCTGATCAGCTCACCCAAGTTTGAGGTTGACGGTATGTAGCGAGCGCCATCGCAATTGTTTGGAGCTTCAGTGAATGGAGTTTACATTTACTATTGTTTGAGAGCATTAGAAAGGAATGCTGCAGAACCTGTTCTGTGTTTTTTTTTAATGATCGAGCAAAGGCGTACCTTCTTTTTTGTAGGCTTGCATGCTCATTGCGCTGGCGATGGAGATCTGTACAGGTTGAGCGTCTGTCCGCCACTCAACATACCAGTGAAGTTCAGAGAAAGCTTCCGACTGTGAAGACGAATTGCATTGACGGCGCAGCTCGTCGATGGCTTGTCTACTGCGGGAAGGGCAAGCGCTATCCGTGCATGCCATGTCTCGCTGGCAGGACCGGCAACAGAACGACATTGTTTCATGTTACGGATTCTGTTTTAGACACGCGAACACATATGGAGGTAAGCCATTGCTACCACCCGCCTGTGGCTGAATGGTACACATGTATGTGACTGGTCATGAGTTCAAATCCTCATCAAGTGGACACACGGCGAAGCCATAGCGGAATGGTTCCTGTGTGATACGCAAACCCAAACAGACATGAACATGCATACTACGCGAAGCCATTGCTACCAACAGTCTGTGGCTGAATAGTACACACACACACACATGTAAGGGTTGTTGTGGGGACAGCCTACAACATACATGCACATGTATGCGACTGTTGATAGACAACAGGTCATGTGTTCAAATCCTCATCGATCATATACATGGCGAAGCTATCGAAGACTGGTTCCGATGTGACAGGAAATGGAATCGACATGAGCATGCATACGAAGCCGATGCTACCAACTGCCTGTGGCTGAATGGGACACACATGTACGTGACTGTTGATTTAACAACAGGTCATGGGTTCAAATCCCCATTGCGTCAGATATCCCATAAAGCCATTGCCGACCGGTTCCCTCCCCTGTGATAGGCTACCGAAGCAAGTCTGACAATTTCGGTGAGGAGGAGGCCGGAAGGAACAACCAGGCAGTTAGAAGGCTGTGAGTCTTCGAGTTCCAAGAGGGAGTAGTGTGTGTCCATGACTGTTGAATAACGGTGTCATGTTCACCGACGGTACTAGTGACCACCGGGCTGTCATGGTGGTACAAATGCAACAGGATGTTGATGCCCTAGTTATGGGGTTCTTATCCCAAACGCGGGTCTTCTTCTCTGAATCCCATAACTTCCTTCAGATAACTATATCGCCCAGACTTATGGGTTTCATATCGCCATGGCCAAGCTATGGGATGCATATCGCCAAGGATCGTCTTCGACTCTTCGTCTCCAAATCCCATAACTTTCTTCAGGTAATCGTCTCCAATCCCACAACTTTCTCCAGGTACCATATTCATCAAAGTTATGGGATTCATATTGCGAAGTTATGTGACAGATATCGCTATACGGGTTGTGGTTAGAAGAGTGAATTTGTAATTGCAGAGCCGCTAGCAGGTCGAGGGTTTGTGATTGCAGAGCCGCTAGCAGGCTCTGCTAGGACTTGTACCTTCTTTTCCATGTGCCATCGGTGGGGATGGAATCTGTCCCTCGGAAAGTAGCAGGCACTGCTGTTAGACGGGCCATATTGTGGACAAGGAATAGCTGCATCCTTCCCTCCCCCTCCCCCTCGCCCCCTTCCCCCCACCTTCTCTTTCTTTTCAACCCCACCCCATCGATGGAGGAATACACCCTCTCAGAAATAGCTGGCACTGGTGGTAAACTGCCGATATTCCTCACCGGTTATAACACCAAGGACCCAGCAGTAGTTCCAAAGGAGTTCGTGCTGCTCCAGATATGGTCCAAGAAGAGTCCTTTCAGTTAGTGCTTCTCTCCTTCCAGCACGGTTTTTGTCGATTTGTCTGCGTTCCCCTGTCCTGTCCTGTGCACTCCGGTATACAACATGTATGGCGGGCGGAAGTGCTGTTGGTGGTCACTGACATATACTGGGGACACTGATGGCCTCATGTGTGTTTTCTACTCGTAACAATTGGTTTTCGAAGTGTGTGCAGAGGTCGTGGTAACCAGTGGTTTCTGCAACGCCTACGGATTTGACTATTGGTTATGGGAATGGTTATCATCGGTATATATGGTTATTAGAATGGTTATCGGAATATAGGTAGCAGAATGTGGTTATGTTTACGGAGTTAGCCATTTGACGGCTTCCGTTTGGTGTCGAGATACCACCACTGGTTTCCATCAGATGGTTGGTCTAAACTTTGAAGGATACACCACCACTACATGAGAGGGTGGCAGGGCCTCCGTCTTGCCGAAGTAGCGACGATAGCAGGAGGAGGGCAGCGCGGATTTTCCCCTGTTGTGCTGCCAGGAACCGGTCCGGTGTCGCTGCGAGCCTCGACCACAGTTCCGTTCGTCGGACTTGGGTAGAGGAGCGAAATGACTAATCGAACCGTCCAGTAGCTGGTTCCCTCCGACATTTCCCTCTGGATACCTGGGGCTGTTGAATAGAAACCGGTCCGGTACCAAGCCTCGTTAGGACTCGGCATGTCAGATGGTGACTGCAGTGGTGGTATAAGAAGTCGATGGTGGCTATCTTGAGTGGGTTTTTTTGTGGAGGAAATGTGCTGATGGCCTCACAACTGTTTCCAGAGGTGATGGGAGGTAACCATCCACTGGGGCATGTTTTAACGAGGAGGTGATGGTTAGCTCTCATCGGTTGTCTGCAGCTGGATGCTAGCTCTCGGAAAACCGGAGGTCTCAACGAGCGTTTGCAAGAGGAGACCCATGGTAGGTAGGTAATTAAGGTATAAGTCACTTGGGAGCTAAAAAATGGTAAGGCGGAAGTTTGGCTTGGCTTTTTGAGTGTAGAGAATAGACACTGCTCAAGTGTTGCCTCACTTGTAGTCTCTGAGGATCCTTGCGCTCTCTCAGGATCCTTTCATCTCGAGCGAGTCATCAATGTAAATTATGGTGAGCCTGCTGATTGACCAACAAATTTGGAAGATTGTTTCGTTGAAGGAACGTACTGCTGAAGGTATTCCTCTTCATTGCGCGAGTGTACTCGTTTCGAGGTGTGTTTGTCTGCACCATGCGATTGATCAGTCAGGACGGCAAGAGAAACGTAGTAGGGAAAGGTCCTGTCCGCTTTGTGAGGAGAGTGGTCGAGGAGTGGAGAGATACTTTGTCGCCTCCTACCAGGCAATCAGGCACTTATTGCCGAAAAGGGGGCTTCTTTCGCTCATCAGAGGGTCGAAAGCTTGCGTGCGTTGACAATGGAGTGTGTGCATCGAGATGGCGTGGAGGTGAAAGCCAAGGGAGCCAGTTCACAGCTGTGCCATCCTTCATCGAGCGATAGTGGCATTTATATGAAAAGATTCCTGTGAAAGATGGCTAAGAAATCATTGTCGAACATGACGATATTCCCTTGTTGGGCGCCTGGGCAGCTAGAAGCGTAACATAAGCCCGGATGCTCGGGACCGGGGAGAAGGGAGGGATAAGGGCTTTCGAGTGGGCAATGGCTCCAATGACCGACCACCCATAGCTTTCCAAGGGGGGTCAAAGTAAAGTATCATGCAGAAGATGGCAGGAAGGAACGGCACCGTTTTATTTATTTACCTGGAGATAGCTTTGTGCTGCTGAGGACATTTGCTTTTCTCTGCTTGACGATAGCTTTGTTCCCACAGAGGAAAAAGGAGTTTTGTAACTTTGGCCCTATCGAGTGAGGATAGGTTTTTTTAAACCCCTTTTTTTGTTTTTAAATCCTTTGATTCCTTTTTTATAATGTAGTAGATATCTGATCTTCTTGAACCGCCAGTACCTGCCCCCTAGGCAAACTTCCGAATCGAAAATGTGGCGACGACATTCCAGGGTCTTTGGAGGAAGGGTCCTACAGGACCAAAATGGCTGGCGGCACCGGTGAAAACGCTTCCGTGGTGGTTTGCAGCTTTTTGTCCCGGGGGAGGAATCCATCCATCTCGGCGAAAAGACGCTTGGAGGTACGTGGTGTAAACCACTAGTACAGTACTGCTACTATTTACGACAACCACCAGGGTTACCAGGAGGCTCGCTCTTTTTCAGTTGGCGCGTTGGATTGACGATCTGAGTAGTGCCACAGTTTTCTCTCCTGTCTGCAGGGGTAGGCACCTATTTTTGGGGGGGAAGTAGTTGGTGGTGGTGGTGGTTTAAGAACAACAACGTCATTGTTGTTCGGTCAGCAGCATTTGTGGAGCATTGTTGTTCGGTCAGCAGCATTTATGGAGCAGCTTTCATCTGTATTGCCCGGCCATCCAATATCACAGCAAGGAAGGGCTTCCCCTCGTGCCCCCCCTGTGGACGTAATGTCCCAAAAGTTGTTCCCCCATTATATTATGTCTGAGCGACTCTGTGGAAATTTCATATTCCAGTTGGTGAGCGGTCAGAGCAGATACACGAGACCTGGACAGGCATTTGGCAGTCGCCACCTGATCATGAAATTATTCTCCTCCCCTGCGGAAGGGATGCAGGCTGTGAAAGAAGCACTACAGCACATGGATATGGACGCAAGGTCACCCGCGAGCAGAGTCGGTGCGTAGTGTGCAGACACAATGTGGCAGCAAGCAAGAGAGAGAGAGAGAGAGAGAGAGAGAGAGAGAGGGGTGCTGAGGGCTTCTTAGATGCGGTATGGTGATTGCTGACCTGGTACATCTCAATGTTGCTCTCATCTTCCTTGAGCAGGGCGCTAACTTGGTAAACAAGGCGAAAGAGTTCCCAACTACCACACGAGACTGTGGGAAGCGGATGGAGTAGTAGTGGAGCTTTTGTGCACTTGTTCATGACCATTTTTGAGTTCTCACCCTGATGAACATTTCTCACAGAAGAGTGTTGTAAATGGGGAGCGCTTGTTACCGCAGGGTCTTAACATAGAAGCAAGTTCGTGTTGGGATTAGTACGGAGACTGCAGTGATTTAGGATTTGCGTTTTGACGGGAAAACTCATGGATGGTGCAGAGAACTGTCTCTGCAGGGTGTATGTGCTGCATACTAGAGGTCAGTTGTTGTGTGAGGGATGGGGGGGGGGATAGGGGGTGGGGGTTGGAGACCGAGGGGACGAGAGAGAGAGAGAGAGAGAGAGGGAGAGAGAGAGAGAGAGAGAGAGAGAGAGAGAGAGAGAGAGAGAGAGAGAGAGAGAGAGAGAGAGAGAGAGAGAGAGAGGCCCTTCGCTTGCAGCAAGCAACTCCTGTCCTTGAGGGTGGGTGGAGACCGGGAGGAAGAGAGAGAGAGAGAGAGAGAGAGAGAGAGAGAGAGAGAGAGAGAAGGCAGGCTGTTCACTTGCAGCAAGCAAATCCTGTCCTGTTGCAAGATGCCAGCCTCCACCTTTGTTCTCTGAGTCTCTCTGCTCGCATTTGTTACCGAGAGGTTTTTTTTTTTTTTTTTTTTTTTTTAACTGAGAGTTTTTCAGGAGTCCGGTTGGTGGGAACCTGTGTGCTGTGAGGTGATGAAGTGGAGGAAGCAGGTCACATATGCGTGGGACGTGTCTTGTTCACGAAGGAGAAATTCAGGTGCAAGAGAGTGTGCATGCTGCTGAGGAATAGTCTTACACTTCCAACTCAGTAGAAAGCTGGTGCCTGGTATCGGTGTAGAGAAATCCTCGCAGTGTTTTCTGCTAGGTTGGTCACTCCTGGAGAGCGTGAACTGTTTTCGGGATGGTGGGAGGAGAGAGAGGAGAGAGAGGGACTTCCTCTTTCGCTACTGTGTGTGGTTATCCGCACATGCAGGCAAGCTGATGTGACTTGGTGCAATGCTTCTGTAGCTCAACAACTCAACTCGGTAGGGTGATATCGACCATCAAGCAACACGTTTCTTGATGAGAATGAGGGGTTGTAGTGTCATTGTGTTGTGGGTAAATCTGCAGTACTTTGTAGAGTGTATGAGATGGGGTCCGATGAGAAATGTGCATGAATAAGCATCCAGCGCCGGAAGGCATTGAGAAGCGGGGACACTAACCATATGCTTGGATTCTTGCAGTGTTTCCATCGCCTGTAAATACCATAGGAGGTGCTGGTGGTGGTGAGTTGTCATTTTTTTTGTGAGTCAGCCATGAAAACTTGTTTTTGCACTGCCTGCCTTCCCGCCATTTTTCCGGCGCCCTTCCCTTTTCTTAACCTTCCCCTTCCGTCCCTGTCTTCTCTCCTTCCTTTTTTTTTTTTTTTTTAATGATCCTTCCTGTTCTCTCCTTCCATTTCGCCGTCCTCAAAAATGCAATTTGGAACCCCCGAGACATGAAAAATTGTTTTTGCGCTGCCTGCCTTGCCGCCTTTTTCTGACGTCCTTCCCTTTTCTTAACCTTCCCCTTCCGTCCCTGTCTTCTCTCCTTCCTTTTTTTTTTTTTTTTTAATGATCCTTCCTGTTCTCTCCTTCCATTTCGCCGTCCTCAAAAATGCAATTTGGAACCCCCGAGACATGAAAAATTGTTTTTGCGCTGCCTGCCTTGCCGCCTTTTTCTGACGTCCTTCCCTTTTCTTAACCTTCGCCCCCTCCTCCCCCGGCCTCCCTTCTTCCCTCTCTCTCTTCTCTCCTTCCATTTCTCCGTCCTGGGAAATGCAGTTTGCGACCCTTGATGCTTGAATGAGGTACCTGCTGTTGCCCTTTGGCGGTGAAGTCGGTCTTGTCTGTTTCTTTCTGTATGCCTTTCCGTCCTCTAGTTCTTATTTCTCATTTCCCCCCATGCCCCCCTCCCTGCTCTTCTTTGGACCTTCCGTCCTCTATTATTCTCTCCCCGCTGTCCTTTTGTTTATCTGGTTCTCAGTTTCCGTCGTACCAAGATTTTGCTCTTCTTTCTCCCCCTGAATCATGCACCCATGAACTGTTGGGCGCTGTAGAGCAAAGACGTGTATAAGTACCAACGGGTGTAGCTCAGTTAGTACACCCATGAACTGTTGAAATACAGACCTGAGTTCAAACTCTGCTGGGTGCAGATGAGTGAAAATACTACGATTCTGAATGAACTAGGGTCGGTCAGTGCTTTTTTTTTTTTTTTTTTTTTTTTTTTTTTTAAAAAACTTTTAAAAGTTGAAGCTTTTGGGAACTGTGGGCCTCGCTCCACCACTCACCAAATGTGCAAAATGAGAATGAACCTTCTGCCAGAACATGGAAAGATACGCTGCCATATTTTTTGTTTTTTGTGCATGTGGTGAGTGGTGAAGCGAGGACGACCTGTTTCAAGATACTGCTACCTTTTCCTCCATTCCTCCATCTCTGCGCATTACCATCCTCACGAGTCCTTCCCCACTGTTCTTTTTCCTCCATTCTTCTGTGCTGTTCCTCTCCCTCCTCCCTCACC